TATGCTGGCCATGGCATACTCTGAATTCTCTCTCTCTCTCTCTCTCTCTCTCTCTCTCTCTCTCTCTCTCTCTCTCTCTCTCTCTCTTTCTCTCTCTCTCCCTCCCTCTCTCTCTCTAAAATATATATATATAATCAAGCCAAGTGGGATGGCACACGCTCTAGAGGCTGAGGCAGGGGGATCACAAGTTTAAGTCTATCCCTTAAACCTGTGTGTGTGTGTGCATGTGTATATATATGTGTGTGTGTGTGTGTGTGTGTGTGTGTGTGTGTGTGTGTGTGTATAGTTTTCATTTTGCCAAGGGTTGTAGAGTACACCTAATCATAGTACTTGGGGAGCTGAGGTTGAAGGATATGGGTTTAAGAGCAGCCTGGGACTATGTAATAATATCCTGGTGAGAGAGGAGGAGGGAAAGAAATGGAACAAATGAGAGAGGGGCGGGAAAGGAACAGAGGGAATGGCAAGCCAGGAACCTCTCTCTGTTCCAGGTCACCCTCCATCGGGGCAATAATCAGACATCAGAGCCAGATGAGAAAACAGAGCGAAATACATGCCTGGGCAGAACACTGCAACCAGGATCTGAGGGAGCAAGAGGAACTCTGTCCAGGGTTCAGTGGAGTGTCTGGAGTTCAAGTCTTGACTAATTCAATCTTCTGTGGATGGTCAGTGCTATGAGAAAGCTCCGAACCAGATCACAAGCAGGTGGGTATCTGAGCAAGGCTTGAACTGGCAAACAACCTCTGTTTCCCTTGGCAGTAGCAAAGGGAAGAGGAAGTAAGATCTGTCCGTGTGCTTCAAGACCCAGAACTCTAGGGTTAGCACCATTTTGTCCCTGACATAAATTCTATGATCTTGTCACAGTGTGTTATTATAGATTCCTGGGGGTCCCTGATAATGACCTGCAACAGCTCTTAAATGGAACACTAAGCCAGAAGCAACCAGTATCAGGGTTCACTCCACTGTTGGGGCATTCTCCAGGAGGCATACACACAGGGAATTTCCCCAGGAGTGCTTGCCGCTGGTCTGCACGGTTAGCACAGAGGCATCACCTTCAAGGGGCCCAGCAGGTCAGTTTTCGACCTGACCTTGTTACCTGGGCAAAAGCTGATCCTTTCCCACTGTCTCTGGCCCAGACACAGGCCTTCAGATCACAGCCAAGAATGTATCCTGCCGTTGACGGCAGCCAGGATTTGGACACGGACACTGTGCAATGATTAATGAGAAGAAAGCTTAGTCACAATTAGACTTAATTAGACTGGCATTGCCATTTCCTGTATGCATTTATTCCTCCAGGACATCTCAGTCCTTGGGAGCTGCACAGCTATTGCTGTTGGATTCCGTATCTGCGACGCCATCACCTCCGTGAGAGAGAAAGGAAGACACAAAATTGCCTGTGTCCCCAGCAGCAGCCATATCTTCCCACTGCTGCATTCATCTCTAGTAATTTTCTAACAGGGTGACATTTGCTTCTCTTTATCTCATTGACTAATGTCAAAAGCAACAGAAAAAAAATGAAAACATCAGTGCCCTAATGTTCTGTCTTTTTTTTTTCTTTCAAGACAGGGTTTCTCAATGTAGTTTTGGTACCTGTCCTGGATCTCGCTCTGTAAACCAGGCTGGCCTCGAACTCACAGAGATCCGCCTGCCTCTGCCTCCCAAGAGCTGGGATCAAAGGTGTGCATCACCACCACTGCCTAGGCTAACATCTGTCTTATTTGTGTCCCAAAGTCCATGAGAGGGATGGAGTTCAAGGCTCTGCTGGCTTATTTAAGTAGTCTCACTCAGCCCCGTTCTTTGACAAGATTGCACTCAGCTCAAACTCTCAATTAGAATCAGTTCCTTATAATTGAATGTAATGCTAATTGTGTGCTTTTGACACAGAGTCTCACTAGGTCTGTAGTCCAGGCTGCCTCTGACCCATTCCTGCTCCAGCTTTCTCAATCCTGGGATTACAGCTATGCACTGCCTAAAAATAAGTTTTGATACCAAGTCTCTGGGCTTGCCTTTTTTTTTTAAAAAAAAAAAGGGGGGGGGGAATGAGATTTCTAGAGATTTCCTGAGGAAGCTGGAGGCTTCCTTGCTCCAATTGGTAACAAACAAACAAAACTGGGGCAGTGATCCTCAGAGGAAAAACTGCCCTGCCAGACCATCAGGACTACTGACTGAGATCCTGGGATCAGAGAGAACGCGCCAGCTCTATTGTTCACAGTTGTTTATCAGCCCTCGGTAGAACAAAGTGATTCTCAGGTGAGAAGCCAAGTTCAGCCCTCTCTCACGTGTTGGAACAAAACAGGCTCTTCCGTATTCATGTTGGTCAAACGGGGCACTTGAACTACAGCTTCCCCTATGTGCTGTGGTCTGATAACAACCACATGAAGAACGTAGTCCCACCACGGCCTTTCTTTTGTGCACACACGCTCATGCCATGACTGTATCCATTTACTAGAGTGAGGATTATTTCATGCTAAACTGTAATTAATTTATCTGTTTCCTTCTGCCTCATTTTTTTTTTTGAGGTTGAACAACAATAAAAATAACAACAATAAAATCTCCAGGAATCTCAACCAAATACATTATCGCTTCCTGATCTTAAGGCCTTGATGAAAAGCTTTCTGACATGGGTAGCATTCTCTGGGAAGCAAGACCAAGTGTGTAGAAATCAGACTTTAAAAACAGCCATGGCTGATGGAACTGGGCAGTAGTAGCCTTAAAAGGAGAACATCTGGACTAATTTGAATAATGTTACTTTTAGAGATACCCAGTGACTTGGAAAAAGTCATAGCCTCGTCTAGAAACACAGAGTGAGTCTTGATTGTCTTCTGACACTGGCAGGTCTAGGTGTGGAATACAGGCTGCCAAGAACGTAACAGTTTGCTAGGGCATGTAGAGAACAGAGGACTGGGTTTTGCTTATTTGCTTGGACTTGTAGCCTTGTAAAACTCACTTGGGTTACCAAGCTGCTATCTCTGAACCTTATTTACTCAGTTATAAAAAGAAAAAAATTGAAGCTAACCCACTGAGTTATTATGACGACTAAATAAAGGGATGCATGTTCTGAATACATAGTACACAATGAATATTAGCTACTAAATTTTTAACGAGGGCAGGAAAATTTCAACATCTTACAAGTCACATGCAAGGTAACACGTGAGTTTATCAGCCATCACACCTCACTTGAAGTTGAGGACGACAGGTTTTCATCCCAGAGCTGTTCTATAAAGCTCCACAATACTGAAGTTCAAGGACCACAAGCTCATACGAGATTTTGACCTTATTAAAATGATCCAGAGGAAGCTGTTGGGTGTATCTTTAGCAAACTAGACAAGAGTTAGGCTGTGATCTATAATCGTTATCCTCAGATAATACTCAATTCTAAGACGTTGTTATGAAACACATTAATTTTGTGCAATTACATTTGCCTTAACCAATCTTGCTTATCGCCTCTTTTGCCTTCAGCCACTTTCTCCAAGTACCTTTTCTCTACTTTAGCCTGCCTTTAGAATTGAGAGTGTGTTCGTGCTTAGAATCAACAGTAAGATAAAATTAAATACACCGTGAGCATATCTTACTCCTCAATTCATTTTAAGTTTTGGAATTTTGTTAAAATGCAAGTTCACTTTGTAAGATTTCATGGATTGTTAGCATTTCTCAGGATGTGTTTTACTATCAAGCTGGTGCTGACACAAAGCCTTAATTGATGATGCCACAGACAATCCTTGCTTTTGGTTTTCCAAGGAAAACTCACATTGAGGGACCAACCATTCTTTCTCTCAGTCACAGAAATAATATTTAGGGTGAAGCAACACTTCTAGAAGGAAATGGACAGTCTCTGGAAAAGGTATTTATGGTCATTTGAATGTAATTGGCCCCATAATCCCAAAGGGAGTGGTACTATTAGGAGGTGTAGCCTTGTTGAAGTAGGTGTGCCCTTGTTGGAGGAAGTGTGACACTGTGGGAGAGTGCCTTGAGATCTCTTCTGCTCAAGTTTCACTAGGTGTGACAGACAGTCCACTTCTTGTTGCCTACAAGATATAGAACTCTCAGCTACTCCTCCAGCTCCATGTCTGCCTGCATACTGCCATACTCCCCACCATGATGATAATGGGCTGATCCTCTGAAACTGGAAGCAAGCCATGCTAATTAAATGTTTTCCTTTATAAGAGTTGACTCAGCCATGGTGTCTCCTCACAACAATAGAAACCCTAAGTGTCAGTTGCAACATTGGCATGGCTTCCTTGTGATGTCATGACCTCATTCAGATCTCAAACTAACACAGGAAGCACACAACACTGTATCAAGTCCCTTCTCTACACTCTACTCCCACCAAGCCCCTGGTACTGCCTAGAGTCCAAAAGATGCAGGAACAGCTTTTTAGATTAAAAATATTATTATTCTTGTGTATGCAAGCATGCATGTGAGTGTACATGTTACAACACATGTGTGGCAATCAGAGGAGTTGAATCCTGTAGTGTCTTTACACCTTTCCATAGTTTGTGACAAAGAGAAACCAGGTCACCAGGCTTGTGCCCAAAGCTGAGCCATCTCTCAGGTGTTCTTTATGAAGAACAGAAAGAGAAAAAGAGAGAGAGCAGTCTCCTCTGGATTAAAATGTGTACCTTCTCCTCTTTTGGTACTAGCTACTACTGCCTTCAGAGCGTGTAATGCAAATAGGTAAAAAGCATTATCAACACAAGCATATTGATAAATATTCCTTGCACAGATTCTGTCAAACCTGTCAACTATGCATCTAACAGGGAGTGACGGCATTCTATTGCTGATGCTGTAGTCATCACACATACTTTTTTAAAATATCCCATTAGCAAATCCTACATCAGAATCCAGACATCGCACAGGCAAATGCATGCTAGAGCTACAGAGTGTTGGGTGGACTACAGAGATTCACGGAGTTCCTCTTTCCTTTGTTGGGTAAGCAAGGTCTCCGTTGGATGTCTAGCTAGTTTGAATCCGATCAAATCTGAAATAGAAGGAGTTAAAATCATCCAGTGCTAAAACAAGAGGAATTATGGGTATTTATTAATAACACGTTTTATTCTTTTTTCAAGACAGGGTTTCTATGTGTATCCCTGGCTATCCTGGAACTCATTATGTAGACCAGGCTGGCCTCAAACTCAGAGATCTGCCTGCCTCTGCCTCCTGAGTGCTGGGATTAAAGGCATGGGCCACTACAGCCTGGCTACATTTTTATTCTCAACCACAACCCTGTGACTAATTTTATAAACATAAAAGGCCCTTTGAGGACAGGGAGGTGACACACTTCCTATTCCATTTGGCCCAACATTTTCACCTTTGGAAGCAATGCTTAAATGAGCATAATAGAATGACAGATGTTTTAAAGTATTCTGGTAGAAAAAAAAAATGAGGTAAAGGTGAAAAGCAACAAAAATTCATATGGTTATTTATCACAAGAACTCATAACCTCAGTGGGGCCCAGTGCTATCCAACTATAATCTCAACTACTCAGGAAGCAGAGGCAGGGGGATCAAGAGTTCCTGGTCTGTCTGTGCCATAGAGTGAGTTCAAGGGCAGCCAAATCAGCTCATCAAGGGCCTGTTTCAAATTAGAAAGTTTTTTCTTTTTTTTTTTTTTAACACTGAAGATATGTCAGTGGCAGAGTGCTTGCCTAGAAAGCATGAGATGCCTGATGCTCAACCAAGTATGTATGTGTGAGTGTGTGTGTGTGTGTGTGTGTGTGTGTGTGTGTGTGTGTGTGTGTGTCTGTGTTAGGGAGAGAGAGGTACTCCAATATACTGTGTGCATGTAGAAAAAGAGGGGGGTACTCCAATATGTATGTGTATGTGTGTGTGTATGTGTATACATGTACACATGTGTGTATCAATAACCAAAGTAATTCAATACAAATTACAACTTACAAACATCATTTTTTGCCTTTCAATCACGTCACAAAACCATTCTGATGAGAATATGGTTTAAAAAATTCTAGCTGGAAACCTCACAAACTATGTGCAAAAAGCCTTAGAAAATTTTAAGCCTGTTAATTCAATAAATTTATTTCTATAAATATACCTAAAGAAGAGATGCATGTTATATCTAATTTTAAGCCTAATCACTACAGAATTATTTATCAGTCACAATTAGAAGCATAGCATGTATCTCAGAATATAAAAACTTCACGGGAATTAAAAACCTTGTTTTCGAGTAATGTTTAACAACATAAAAAACGTTAATGATGAATGATAAACTGAAATGTAGGTCACAAAAATCAGCAAACAAGGATGATACTTGTGTTTTCTTTCCAATTTGCTTAGCAAACTTTTAGGAGTTTGCCTGGGTCAGGGTGTCCATATGTTTTAGGAACATGGGAGTTGTTGTACTGGGTCAAGTCTCAGCTCAGCAGTCAGGAGAGGCCGTAGGACAGATCAGGGGACAAAGGTGTCTTCCCTGCAAAGGGTTCCCAAGCGCTCCACTCCAGGCAAACCGCACTAGCAGAGGCAGTTTCTCAGGTGTGAAGCACTTCAGTTCACACAGTGTTTTCAGATGTACACCCCCCCTC